CCGAAGGAGTGAACGGAGTGAACTGATATGCAGGGAATATAGTCAGACTCAAGACAGAAGGGTGTCCAGTCCAAATAAGAGCCAAATCAGGTCATCGCCTGTAGCATCTGGGCTGTGAGTGTGAGCAATCTGTATGTGTTCAGATGGTGTCACCTCTCGCAGGCCGTGCACACTACTGAATTATTTTGTGAAGCGCATAATACTATCTTTCCTGGCAAAACCAGCACATATAGTGCTCATAAAGACAGGCTGATTAGGGACAGCCTACTATCCCTTATAATGTTATTAGCCAAGCCGCTAGTATCAGCAGTGCTATATGCTGACAACAGTTTCTTGCTGTACCTGTATATTCTCAAGAACTTGCATGCAGCTACGTCGGCGACTGGTAACACATATGTTATAATTGTTGAGCCCCTAGTATTTTACTGCTGTTGATTTCTGACACTACACGAGAATTTATTCATTTTGGGAGCTACACGGGAGTTGCACACATCACAGACTCGTATGGGAACATATGGTAATTACTTTGAGGTAACATATCTTAAGTTGCCGTCGTGTTAGATGTACAATAAGGTAAGGTGTACCAAGAAACGGTCTTGCTAATCACTTTGTATTACACGACCGTACTGTCTTACTGATTGTCTGACAATCAGTCGCACAGCCTCGTCGGGCTAATTAATACATGCATGAATTAGGTACTGATTGAGGTACATGCATATATATGTAGTCATTTCAGAACATTACACAATCCTATATTTTATAAGATTATAATATGAAATACTACATGATGGAAAGTGAGTACAGTCAGTACACGTGACGTACCGGTAAGTGGATTTACAAATAAATATTGTAGGCCTATTGAATGATCATTGTTGTAATTATGAAGCTGTGTCTTGGTAGGCCTACGTTTACGCTTTCGTCGTTCCTTTTACACGCGGTATATCACTAGTATAGCTCCCTAGCTTAGAGTAGCTACTAATAATAGTAGATTAGTACTTTAGTAGTGCTGAGAGGGTCTATGTCCCCCAGGGTACTGCCGGAACGTACCCTGGTACTATCTAATATGCCGAACCGTACCTCGTCTACTCCACTAACGAGTCTAGGGAGTTGCCTACGCCTACTCCCTAACCCGAACCCTAACCCTAATCCTAACCCTAACCCTAACCCTAATCCTAACCCTAACCATATCAAATAGTGGCCAGGGTACGTTCCGGTATACCGGACCGTACCCAGGGTACGTCCCGGCAGTACCCTGGGGGACATAGACCCTATGAGCTTTAGTAGTAGTATTAGCAGGAGTAAGATAATATAGATATATAGCTAGATATATAGATAGCTATATTATCTTACTCCTGGTATTAGTAATAGTAAAACAACACAGAGAAACGGTACAGTATCACTGTATGTATATTGAATTGTAGTTGATGGAAAAGTACACTCTACAATACAACTTGTGAAGAAGAGCCATTGAACTGGAGCAGAGCAGACCACCGCCTACCGTCTAACCGCTCCTGACCTCACAAGCGGTCTATTGGCACGTTTTACATTTATCTAGACTGTCTTAGTGAATACAGAATAGTGTCTAGACATGCATGGTAAACAAATTTAGCAATATATTCCGCTACGGAATAACAGTATTATAAATGAGTTTGCAGTCTACCTAGAAGCTCCGTACATACCAAGTCTGTAGCTGACTTATTCTCTGCTAGCCATCCATTCATTCATACACTGACTGACACACTCTCAGAGCAGAAGTACATGTATGTTCTGTCGTTGATCTTGTGCAGGTCACTGTGACTGTGAGTGTGTACAGCGACGCCTCCACACTCCGAAGGGTAGTCATCCATATCCAAATCAAAGGAAACGGCTGGCCGAGATAGCTTAGAACGAACTCTGATTTGACAATAAACCAGAAGTACACATTTTTGCAACTACACAGCAAGAGAAATGATCTATTCACCCTACCTCATGTTGATAAGAAATAGAATGATAACGCAGATAGAATGATAACGCATGATAACCTCTTCTAGATTGCAAATAATGCAAAATTGCCAATGCTAAATTTAGTCGGTGGTGCCATCTATGGCGCGAAATGTACACTTATGTCATCGTAAAATCAAATCATAACCTCATAAAGAATAATAATTATTCCAAATCCAGGGACGGTACCGAAGAAGGAGAGAGTGTAAAGCTTGATCAAAAAATAGACATTTACAAACACATGCGTTTTATATATCTGTGATCAAATTGATAGATCCTTCTAGGAAGGTCAGCGACTTCGTCACCCTCCACCCTCTACTGCTTTTTGTCTGTTTTGGGTTGGCAGATATGTCTTGTGCGTTAAAATCAACAGACAAAATAACGAAGAAAATGGAAAAATAATTCGGGATAAATAGAGCCGGCGGCGTCTAAAAAATGTATCAACTGAGAGAACGGATTAAAATCAATGCTGTTTTTAAAAATCCTGTTACTTTTGCATATTCCGCAAATATTTTTTTAAATTCGGTATGCGGCTATGAATTCCGCTTTTGGACATGTTAATTTGCATTCAATAATTAAAATAAAGTGAATAAACACATTTGTATTTACTAGCAATGTCTTAATGATTAAGTACGGTCCATTGGCTAACAATGTCATGTAAATGCTGTACAACATTTTGGGTTTGGATATTACTACGTTAAACTGGATTTCTAACTTTTTGAAGGATAGATCACAAATTGTCGGTGTTAAAGCTGGGGGCCCACGAGCGTATTTTTTCGCCCGATCGCGACGATTAATATCGCCAGCGAATTTATATAGGCCCGATCATGAAGGGGCACACGTAGCGAATTTGAGAGCGTACGCGTACGCCATTCGACGGAATCACATGATGCATCACATGATATCAACAACACGTCCGATTTGTTTAAAAAAATCGATCGCTTTACAAAATACGCCGGACACGGGCACACGAGCGAATTTGCAAGTAAATAATCGCCGGCGTAAATAATCGGCCGAAAATATCTAACATTTTTGATACGGGCGATTCGTACGGGCGTACGAAATCGGCGTCGACGTGAACGGGCACACGGGCGAATTTTTCGAGCGATTTTAAAATTCGCCGCGATCGGGCGATAAAATACGCTCGTGTGCCCCTACCAGGGGCGTAGCCAGTATGTAGCACTGTAGGCCCGGGCCTACACTTTTTTTGGCCAAGTTATCTTTTTTTTTTAAACACCCATAATTCAAATCCATAAGCTTGCTGGACGAGTTTAAGTCTAGGCGGGAAAAACTATTGAAATGAACGTAGCAAGAATATGGCTAAATTAGGTGACCTATTCTTCTGTCATCTAGGCTGTCATTTCTATCGCGTGCCGTTTCATTCAACACTCTACCCGCCGAAAAAGACTAGGATCCATTCTTGTCAGTTTTTTAACATTTTAACTCGTTCGTAACACTATTTTAACTCGTTTGTGTTTTTTGGGTTTAAAAGTGATATTGAATTAGGTGTCTCAAGTTAGCAAGAGGTCAGGGAACCAGAATGAACACTCGGGAAGGGCCGTTTCCGGCCATCTGGGGGTTTGTAAAAAATGTTCTTGTACGCTCCGCGCCAACCGATGGTGGCGCTCCGCTCAGATAGTCGTGCCTACAACTTTGAAAATCCTGGCTACGCCCCTGCCTACCTTAACGGCAGCATGCAATATGTGGATGCTGACACATTGGGTATATACCCAAGGTTCTGTGCTTGGTACATTGTTGTTCTTACTCTTTATACTAGTAAATGATTTGTTGGCCGAAACGGACTTTTCTACATATATTCGTCTCTGTGCTGACGACGCAAGTCTGTATCGCACCTTCACCATAATCCTCTTCGTGTCCGCCTTCTCCATGCTATACTTAATTATAACTTTTTATAAAATTTAGCAAGGTCAGGTGAGATTGTCATTCCCTCTTGTTTGATGAAGCCTTGTTCGTTGCATTCGATCATCTGAGCGTGATTATTTCTTTCGTCATGTGCCATCTTCTAAGGACCCCTTTCCGTTTAGCTTCTTTAATTGTTTCTGTCATTCCGTATTTGAATCTCTCCCTTCCTCTTTAGTAAATTGCAAATTTGAGGCTTTTTCTACTGCGATCTGCAGTGTTGTCTGTAGGTTTACTCATCTTGTCTCTTTCCGTCTTCGAAATAGTCTATTGGACTTTAAAAAATATTATTTACGAGGTTACGAGGTTACATAATAATATCAGGAGTAAGATAATATATTATCTTATAATATATTATCTTACTCCTGATAATATGTCAACGAACGTGTATATTGAATATCAACGATATCAACGTGCCACAAATGCTTAGGTATGAAAACATTATTGTTTGCCAGAGCGATTTGCTTATGGCCACTTCAGTCAGTGTAAACTGTAATGATCATCTAGTCTATTTGTGAATCATATATATTGGGGTCCACAATTTGGCCGTGGCGGCTAAGAATATTATTCTGCAAGTGGCGCACGCCAGCCAGCACACGGTGCGAATTCGGCGCGCGCCAACGGCGCTTAGTCAGAAAATGGAAAAATCAAACACGATAGATCGCGCGCGCCAACGGCGCACGCCAGCCCGCACACGGTGCGAATTCGGCGCGCGCCATCGACGTTGAGCTAAACGCGCGCGCCATTTGCGCACGTAAACTAGAGTCCCTTTATATAGCGTCCCCTTCTATAAACTCTGTCCACTAATAGTTAATAGCCTAAGGTTAATATGCTAATAGCCTATGGTAAATAGAATCCCCTTTATGGACTCTAACGTAAACCAGCCCGCACACGGTGCGAATTTGGCGCAGCGCGCGCCGAATTCGCACCGTGTGCGCTGAGTGTGCGGGGGCCATAGCGGGGGCATTACATTATGTTATCAGTTCCCGCCGAAAGATGGCGGTAACGGTACGGGAGATAGAGCGGCACCTCTCGGATGAGAATGCAAATTTCTTTTAATACGATCGCACGATGCACTTCGGAATCGAAAACATCATGGAGATGAGTTTCACGCGTAAATCACACAGAAGCAAAGTTTATGGCAATAGAAGTTTAATAGTTATATATATTGTCACATTCGTGGTATTATTAAATACGGGAAGCTTTGTAAATGCTCAAAACTGTGATCCGGCTTCATGTGTGCACGGAACATGTTCTGCCGACGGTGTTACGTGCGTTTGCGATCAGTTTTGGACAGGTGCAAATTGCAATGATGAGCAATGCCACACACGAATCAGGTAGGTTAATATCGCAGATGGGGTCGTTGTCGTATCAGGTACTGCAGATATGTACCCGAGGTAGTTGTAGGTTGTTTAGTATTATGTTTATATTTTTATATGAGGTATGTTTAGGGTTAGGGTTAGGGTTAGGCTGGGTTAGGGCTAGGCCGCTAGCGGCTAGGGTTATGGTTAGTGTACACTTCTATAGTACAAGTCTGGTACACTTTGTGTATGGCCATATGGGCCCAAGGATATAGAACATGGGTCCCAATAAAACCAATGTGCCTAATCCTAACCCTAATTCTAACCCTAACTCTAACCCTAACAATAACCCTAACCATAACCCTAACCTATTATATTGATATAATATTATATTTATATTGATGTAAATGACATTGGTTTTATTGGGACCCATGTTCTCTATCCTTGAACCGATATGTGTGCCTCGGGTACATGCATATCTGTAGTACCTGATACGACAACGACCCCTCCATCGTTAATATCATCATCATGATAGAAATGCAGTTCGTGCGTACCACGACTTTAGGGTATTTAACTTTGTTACAAATTATGACATAAATGTTCACATATATAAGTATAATCCCAGGCTTTCATTTTTAAGGGGCGCGATCGCGCTCGCGCTCCATCGCGCACCCGAAATTGTTCCATTGTGCGCGCATCATCGCGCCTCATAAAAGTGGTTGAAATCGCGCACCAAAAGTATGTCTATTATGTTGAAATAGCGCTCCATAGAGTTCTCAATGTAGGGGGGTACAAAAAGGTTAGCAACACACAACAATTTGTGGTGTGTAAGTAACTGAACGTATGGCAGAGGTACAGGTCTGGTTACTACCCTCTGGTTTATATATATATATAAATACAACTAAACAACAGCATCCAAATACAGGTACCTATACGGTAGCCACAAGTTACCTGCTCGTTTTCTACTATACGTGGCGAGAAGTGGTTTTCTGCCGACGTGAAACAGTCGTAGGGCTGGAGGGGCTACATACGTGGCTACTACGTACAAGTAATTTGGCTAGTTTGTTGATGGATTGTGATGATATGTTGTGCTGAAATATGCAGGTACATGGATTAGAATCTCTAAGGATGGAAATCAGAATAAATAAAACAAGTTTATTTTTACATCCGATCAACTCTTTTATTAATCTGTGTGCTAGTGTTGGGTTGTTGGATGAAAAGAATGTAATCCTGACGAAGCCATTGAATGAATGAAGGTGAAGATGAATGATAATCAGTAGATTGACATGACATCCCAATTTTCGTTTTGGATTTCACTCTAGACTGAGGATTGGTCATGATTCCATCATCACACCCCAAGAGGCATGATGGAGAGCCCTCAAAATCACACCTTTAAAAGGGATGATGGAGAGCCCTCAAGGAGCTCTCCATCATCCCTTTTAAAGGTGTGATTTTTAGTGGAGCTCTCCATCATGCCTCTTAAGGGTGTGATTTTTTAGTGGAGCTCTCCATCATGCCTCTTAAGGGTGTGATTATGGAGCGTGAAAAGACCCCCTATGGTGTCCTAGGGGAGTCATTAGTAGTCCTCCTGTACTTTTCAAATCTGAAAGCCTGTAATCCTAACTAAGTTTGACACTGACAGGCTCACTATACTAAAACTGGTCTAGACTAAAGAGCAAACGGGGTGTAAACTAGTCTAGAGTGTAGTGACTAGGCTAAGTAAGCGGCATGCAGCTAGTAAGCCTAATGAGTAATGACTAATGTTTGTGTGTGTTAGTGAATAGTGTTGCAGACAGTGGCGGCACCAGGATTGTAAAAGTGGGGGTGGGGCAAGCTGAGGGCAAGGAAAAATGTTGGGGGGCCAAGGGGTTGGAGGAGTTGGGGGGGGGGTAGCACGAGTTCCAGGGGCCGTCCAGAAGCTCTGAGCTTTTAGCATTTTTGAGGTGAAAAATCAAGCTACTGTATGCCTTAAACAGAGAAATAAACACGCTTGTAGAGCACTTCTGATCCATATAGCCAAACTTCTAATTTTACTGTAGTGTGCTAGTGTTGTAAATAAAGGCTATCCACAGAAATTGCTGTTTCGTGGAAAAATAAAGGGGAAAATCATAGTGGCGGAAATGGAATAAGCCGGGAAGCGGAAATTTTCCGCCAAAATCGGAAGAGTTAATTGGGAGGTCTGCCACTCAATAAGAATTCAAATTACATAGACTAGAGTTAAAACCCAAAGATTGAAAGGCAATATTTTGGGCCTATGGAGTAAAATTAATATTGTCATTGCTCCTGTGAACTGTGTTCTTAAAACCTTTGTACATACAGGTGCTGACTGGGGGGCAACTGGGCAGTAAAGACTTTGACTGATGGGACAAATGCTTTGGCGCCCATGCCCCCCTGGTGCTGCCACTATGTGGGGGTTGAGGTGGGGTGTAGGGCTGTTTAATAGAAACACATTTAAAATTGCATTTATACACTGTGCAACATAAAATCACAACAATTAAGGTGTTGTGATTACTTTTGAACAACGAACTTATATATGTGTGTTATATATTTGGGCCTAATCCTAGTTTAGCACCCCAGCTTAATCTACTGTTTAGCACAAATGAATTACATTTGCAACTAGACAGAGGGCACTCACGGAGAGTGCATACCTCCGCGAGCATGTAACATGTATGTGCTCGCTGGTGGCGGCTGCTGACTGACTCGCCTGCTGCTGACTCGCCGCTCACTGGTGGCTGCTGCTGACACGCCACACGCTGACTCGACACGCTATCGATCGAGGTGCCAAACTAGGAATGAACATGTGCATGGCACAACTAATCAGAGTGGTATTGTTAACAGTGTGCAGGAAATTGATGCCAGAGTTGGGCAGGCTGGAATATATATATAGCGTGAATTAGGCAGCCCCTGTCACGGATGCTTAGCCCGCCACTAGGAAGAAATCCATAACTCGCCAGTGAAAGATCTGTGGAAAAATATTTAGTCTCTGTAGCACTGTTATTATCACACTAACCTATAAAACAATCAGCAATTTGATGGTCCAGATGATTTATCTGTGCACACGATATATACAATATATGAATAGTTAAATATATGCCAATTATTTACAAATAAAAATCCTAAAGAGACCATTTTAAACTTTTAAATTTGGAAACGAATTTGATCGTCTTTGTTTAGATAGCCTAGCTTCATCCCTCTAATCATGTCTTTGCCCCCTCCCTTCATTAGGGAACTAGGTTCATGTGTCAGGTAATCCCTGGTGCCACATCTGAAGGTGGAATATTGCTACTAATATTACCAATAAACATAGATGTTTGAGCTATGAGAAACGTGGTTTTTATTTTATTTATTTATTTATTAAAACAATTCTGACATAATTCACGATCTGCATTATAGTCTGTTCAACAGCTACAATGTGATGCCACACACTACAACATTTTTGGACAAGCAGGAGTCAGTGAAACAGTGTTATCTTTATTTTTGAAAAAATTGTGAGGGCTGGTAAGTTATGGTGAGAGCTGGTAAAAAAAATTAATTTATAAGAATTTCTTAAACAGGATTTCATACCCTGTTAGGATGCCCATGATCAGTGCCTTGACCACACTAAATCACAGCTTTCAGCTATTCTTTCATCCCTACACAAGCCTTGCAAATAATGTTGGAGTGTAGCCATATTATTTATCCAATCAATATATACCACACTTCCTTCTCATATGTAGTAGTGAAAAAAAACATGTTTTGCATCTATTGCTTAATTAGTCTCTTTCAAAGCCAGTCATTCAAGATCACATTGCAGTATGGTACCAGGATCCTTTATTGTTTGTGATCAATGCATTTTTTTCATTATCGTCATTTCACTGCTCATTGGTAACGGGTACAGACTGGTAACACAAATATTTGCTATGTAGCCTGCCTTAGTTCAAAGTCCATCTGCAAGGCTGCGCAGCTTGTTGCAGACATGTTGATATTATCAATGTGTGCACTGTGTACCCTGTAGAGCCTTTCGAAACTATATGAATTGATTGGGGGTATATATGACATGCACCATACTCCTACGTCGGAGGTTGCAGGGTTTTCATTATCTTTTATAGTAACAGGCCGAAATGCTTTTGCAACAGGCCGTGGGGGAGTGCGGGCGGGGGGTTTGGGGGTACCCCCACCCCCACAATTTTTTTTAAAAACCTAGATGCTCTGAGATGCAATCTGGTGTATTCTGAGCTGCAGTAAACTTTAACAAACACATTTGGATTACAGTGTGGTCCTTTTTTCCAATTTGGTTTCTCCTGGTACATTCAGAGTTCACCAAAAGTTTCCAAATTATGACGATTTAGTAATTATAAGAGTTAGACAATTAAGTACGTAAATAGCGTTATTCAAAAACAAAACAATGATTCTTGTGCACATAACATGCATACAAATATACTCAACTGATTTATTAGTAGTAGCTCATAAAACACTTTCACTTTGGAGAATAATTAGAGCAAACTAAATGCAAATAAAATTATTATTATTGTTTTATTTTTTTAAATATTATACTTGAGCCAATTGTAACCGGCTGAAACAGCAGAGTAGACGGTCAATTCGGCCGGTGGCCGGTTCCTAATACCCCTGTCACACCGGGGTGGCGTCCTTACTGCGCTGCTACGGCGACGGAAAATGGGCCCAGAGCGCGCCAAGGTCGCCATAAGCGTGGTATAAGCGTGGTGGAAACGCCAGACATCGTGGTGTGGTCGCCATGGTCGCCAATGATCGCCGAGTCACGGCGTTTGTTTTGAGCATGTTCAAAACAAACGCCAAGGTTCGGCGATCTGACCTGGAACGCGGTGAGAACGCGGTGGGGTCACGAAGGTCGTGAGACAAGCGTCGTAACATCTCCATAAACATAGTACACGCGCAGTACACGCGTGGCAAAGACGCTGCGAAAATGGTGACATTTTCAACGGCGAATTCACGGATCTGTCTCATCCGATCTGCCGATCTGTTTCATGCCGATCTGTCTCGGCCACGGCCACGGCCTCGGCCTCTGATAGCTTGTTTCTTCGGCATCGTGTTTCTACTCAGCAAACGCACAACTATACAGTTAAAATTTCCGAAAATCTGACCAGCTTATATATAGTCGCCGTGAGAACGTGGTAGAAACGCCGTAATGTCGCCGTGCAGTCGCGATACACGTAGAAGACGCGTGGTAAGAACCCCATGAGCGTGGTGAGAGCGCCGCGGGAACGCCGGTGATCGCCGTTGCCAAGCCCATAGATCTCAATAGAAACGCCATAAGCGCGGAGAGGTCGTGGCGGGCGCGCCGTGAGAACGCGGTATGATCGCACAGGTCGCGGTAAGAGCGCGGTTTTTTTCAAGTTTGTAATTTGTTGGGACTTTTTCTCGCGTTGTGTTTGCGTTTGCCGGCGACCTTGTACATTTTCTGGTCGCCGTACGGTCGCGGATGGTCGCCGTCCGGTGTGACGGGGGTATAATGAGAACACTGAGGTTGTGGCCCTTCCACACACAAGTCTAGTAGCTTTAAGTTTGTCGTCAATGTTTCTGTAACAAGCTGCTTTTTCCGGTCTAGGGGTGTTAACCCTATCCCAACCCGTATCCGGACGACTACCCCCTGGACAACTACCCCCGGACAACTACCATCTGGAGAATTACCCCCCTAGGACAACTCCCACTCGGACAACTGCCACCCGGACAACTAGTCAACTACCCCCCTAGGGTTAGGGTTAGGGGGGTAATTGTCCTATCGGGGTAGTTGTCCGGGTGGCAGTTGTCCGGGTAGTAGTTGTCCTAGGGGGGTAATTGTCCGTGTGGTAGTTGTCCGGGGGGTAGTTGTCCAGGGGGTAGCAGTCCTAGAATCATCCCAACCACTTAACCTCGAGGAGAGGTGGTCCAAATTTGTCTGGCCTCTACCTTTTGACCTGTCCAGCTTGGGTGACCCTGCCAGGAGCTTATGCTCCCGCTGGCATAGTTCTCCGGGTTATTGAGGCTCGCAAGCCACCACACCGCGACAAGGGATGGACCCGTGGTATATAACACTGTTATAGATTAAAAAGTTAAATATGGATATTTTCAAAGTCAGTAGAATGTATGTAGTTTAAAAAAAGAAGAAGACATAGATTAGTTTTAGGAAAACAGAAATGGGCACTTAATTGTACCTAAAACATCATGATTGGATAGAATTCACAGTTAAAAGATATATTGCTTGTAAACAGCTCCTCTATCAATGCGCGATGTTTATAGAAAAACCTAATAATAACCGAATAAGCTATTGACAAAAAATGACTGATAATCATAAATGAGCAATGTACAGACTACACAGCAGTGTTTTTAGGCAACAAATCCTAAACCCTTGATAGTTGACCACTATTTGTATGTGTAAATGTGTAAATAGATAAATACACATGTATAGGTATGTATAATGAATTCGTATGTGATGTTGTTACTCTTGCTTCAAAATTGAAGTTGAGTTCTATGACACTCTTACATTCTTCTGTCACTCATACTCTCCGCACAGTTATTTGATGTGGCCTACATCCTGACTAAATGAAATTAAAATTATTATAATATATTAATGCTAAAACATTGGAATACATTTCTACATAATGGTTTTTTGCACATAGAATAGACGAATTAAGTCTCTTGTCATTTTTCTAAAAAAATGTTGAGCTGAAAACCATACATAATCATAATCATAATGTCATATATCATCATCATATATGTGTAAGCATAATCAGCTTATTACTGATTGCCAAAACAGAGTCTGTATTGTGTGGTCAGAAGAGTACCTTGTATACCTACAAACATTGCAAGATCACTCATTAATACAGTACTTATGTTAGTCAAATGATTCTGGATCAGTCCCTGAATTGATATGGATAGTGTATGTGTTAGGTTATTATATTAGGATGTTTTCGCTATATGATACCATGTCATACCATTTACACATCCGTTCCCCACATGGTTCACATATCCTGGCTTCAAACCATTTATACATTCCCACCCCACACCATTCGCACATTCATATCCCACGCCATCAAGAGTACATAATAAAACCATAATAATGGTTTTATTATGTACTCTTGACGCCATTCATACAGTCATACCTCACACTGTTTGCACATTCATATCCCACAACATTCTCACATTCCCACCCCATACCATTCTCACATTCCCACCCCACACCATTTGCACATTCATACACCACACCATTCGCACATTCATATCCCACACCATTCTCACATTCATACCCCACACCATTCGCACATTCCCACCCCACACCATTTGCACATTCATACACCACACCATTCTCACATTCATACCCCACACCATTCTCACAATCATACCCCACACCATTCGCACAGTCACACCCCACACCATTCTCACATTCATACCCCACACCATTCTCACATTCATACCCCACACCATTCGCACAGTCACACCCCACACCATTCTCACATTCATACCCCACAACATTCGCACAGTCACACCCCACACCATTCTCACATTCATACCCCACAACATTCTCACATTCCCACCCCACACCATTCGCACATTCATATCTTGCAGCTCATGGCGCCTTGCCATTTTCGTGTTTTTCCACTGTCATCGTAAACCTAACATGTAATTTATCCAGAGGATGTGAGATACTAGTTAACTTCGTAACCCAACGTGTGTTTAATCCAGCTGATTGCTATAAGGCTGTCTCTTCTAGTCTGTTGTCAGCATCTGAGGGAGTGATCAGTGACGGAGAAGGCGAGTATCTGGCGGACACGCGCTGCACGTGGTTGCTGGATACGGGCAGTCCGGGCGCTCTGCTGCGCTTCCGCCTGCAGTCGTTTGAGACCGAGTGCGGCTGGGACCACCTGTACATATATGACGGCGACTCCATCTACTCTCCGCTTGTCGCAGCCTACAGGTGACGAGAAGCGCGCGCAAAAGTTGCTGTCGCAACGCGTCGCGTTAGCGTCTATATCGTTTTAATTTTTTTATTCAGTGGCGTTGCAAATTGTTTGTATGATTTATATACCAGCGTGGTAAGAGTAACCTGGTTGAGTGGGTTAACCAGCATGATTAGATTAACTTGGCTAGGTTACCAGTCTTGTTTGATTTGCTAGTTTTGGTTGAATAGCATTGTTTTTTATTAGTCTGGTAGGTTTAACAATGTACTAACTTGTTGTGTAACTTGATTGTATCATCCTATTAAGTTGCCCCGGAGCTTGATGGATGAAATAACTTGTAACCTTGCCCATGTTCAACGTTTCAGTGGAATTCTAGTTGAGGAGAGTAGTACTAGTAGTCAGAAGTCTACACTCTACTCATATCCAGAGGTGACAACACGTTCTGGAAAAGCCTACCTTTACTTCCACAGTGACTCCGTTTATTTCATGGATGGCTTTGAAATAGCATACAGGTGAGAGCTTATACTCGATTATTACGATACCTGTGGAATCAGGTTAGCTGTACATTGATTCTCAATCTGCAGGTGATAACTTGTGCAATGTTAAAGCTTTTCAGAGGTAGCATTGGTTAACAGTTTAACACAAGCTGTTTTGCTGACTTTCAAGGCATAAAAGGTGTTGTATTAGATTCCTTAATTATTATGGTAACCAGGCTTATCGTCGGCACCTACGCATGATTTTCCTTATGCAAGTGCCTGTAAAGCATGAGTGACCTATTTTTTTCCCCAGTGTGTTATCTTGTGCACACGATTGCTATGGTAATGGCGTGTGTGAAGCAGGCAGCTGTACCTGTAGTGGTGGGTGGAGTGGGGAAGACTGCAGCCAACCTCCATGTAATGAAGACCACTGTTCAGTTCATGGCAGTTGCGATGTAGATACTAACACCTGCGTTTGCTTACCAGGTTATCAAGGTAGGTACAGTGAAACTCTGATTTTACGCGGGTTGATTTAAAGGGATACTAGACTCTAGGATTTTACTGCATACAAATGTACTTACTGTATAACAAATCGTCCATACCCACACGTACTTGTTGAAGGATTCGGGATGTCGAATATGGGGGGTCAAGGGTCAAAGGTCAAGATGTGTCAATGGCGGGGGAATATTTCCCCCTTAACGTAAGACGGTAAGGTATAGGAGGAAATACGGAATTGCAGCACAAATCTCAAAGGCTCGACCTACGCTCTTAATATTCGATGTATAGTGTGATGGGGAGGAAACCCATCACCAGCGCGAAATTGGAGGTCACAGGGCAAAGGGCAGTGGGGGAAAGGTCAGATATCCGACATTTTCTGAGGACATGGTCTAACGGACCGTGTGCAAAACTTGTTTGTTTCCAGGCGGCATCACGCTACCATTTTTATCACTATTGAAAGGACCGTGAAATCTACTTTCGCCTGACACGTGGCGAAGAGTAAGGTGTGATAACCTTTTGAACCGCTCAAGAGGAGGGTTTAAACTGATGTGTGTGCACTTGAACAAAGACAATTGCGTTTTGGGCTATTAGAGCCGCCTCCACCCACCCTCCCCCACCTCCCCCTTCCCCCGCTTAAGATGCGAAGTCATTAAAGTACACACTATTCTTTATTACCTGTACTAACAGTATACAAAGCCTATCAACGCGGTGCTTTGAAAGGCATTGAAAATACGTCACATGTTGTTCAACATCGCGATGTTGTATGAACTTCTGCGTTTGCCCTGCGCAAGAACCGCACAGTGGTGCTGCGGTACAGCGGTACGGTGTAGGCAAAGATAAAAACATGTGATGTCACCTAACCTTAATAATAACCGTCTTATTAGCCACGTGTATTTAACCCCAATTTAGCGCGATCCTGCTTTTTTCGCGATGACATTTCATGGACCCTAACCATCGCGTTATAACGGGGCTACACTGTATATGCTTGTTACAATGTTCATGGGGGCATATATGCACACAGCGAAAGTGCGGAATATCTATCCATTTGTCTTGGGTTCAGAGATCCAGTCAGGTAGTTTAATTGTGTTATCAAATCAAGTTTATGGAAGGTACTGGTACAGTGTACGTATATATTGATTTTTAATTAATTAGATCCAAAGTTAGAATTTACTTTCTGTCATGAGCTCTACTTGGTAGCATCAAGTGGGAAAGAAGTTATTATATTGTCTTTATAATGCACATTCTGTCAAGGCCAAATTAAATTTTTTTTGCCACGAACTGTGTTGTACTCACATAATATGATAAAAAATATAATATGTTATATATGTATATATATATATATATATATATATATATATATATATATCTAATATAAATATTAGCTGAGCAAGGCTACTTTCTCCTGAAAACGTTTTAAGTTGAGCTTTGTATAGAATTAGCAAGCAACTTCAGTGTAAATTTTGATGTTTTATTACTTGTCATCAGTCTGTGACTGTCTGGCGAGGTGTCTAACGAAGTGTATGTGCGTGATGGCTATTTGCAGGTTCAGACTGCAGCATCCCCACATCAGAGCCACTATGGAGCACTGTGACCCCAGTACAGGGGAACCCCATCTCCCGGGCTTCACATAGTGCTGTTGTCGTGGGTGACTCGATGTGGGTGGTCGGTGGCTACATATTCCCGTCGACAGAAATCTACCAGCATCTGATGAGGTGTGCAATGTCATGTACAGGGTTCTCCCCATGTGTTTAGCACATGTCAGTTCTGACATACCTTCAATTTTGCAACATTTCATAAATGCTCCAACATGCCTTGATTGCCGAATCAACATGCCTTAATTTCCAGATGTGTTTTTAGCTCACCTTGACATTGTCAAGCATTTTTACAAATTCTTCACCTTTCTGTGTGACAGGTTTGACTTTCTGACCAAAGAATGGAAGGAAATTGTTGCAGAAGGGGTGAAACCAAGTCCAGTATGGGGCCACAGCCTTGTGCACTACCGGGTATTGAAACCAAATTTTACATTCATATAAACTTATAATGTGTATGAAAATCATTAAATTAGCAGTATATTATTATTTTCATATTTGTAAATGACCTTTGGTTAAACAGGAACCGTGAGTGAAAAAATGTTCTTGAAGCAAAATGCGGGCATCTTGGCAACGTAAAACTCTTGGCAATGGTTTGAGTTTTGCTGGGAATATTTCAGGATGAAGAAGGGGATGACGACCAGCTCTGGTTGTATGGTGGATATATTGGTAACACCGCTATTGCTGATTTGTGGATGTACAGCATCACAAACAATACTTGGAGGTATAACTGAAAATGCCTCTCTATATAATCACTTTTATTTCTATCCTTTAGTCACATCCTTTGTAAATTGTATTATAATTAAGTCTCCTGTGCTAACGCAATTTGTTAATAGCTGATAATTTATTTTATCTGAAATTGTAAATAATATTATCAGTTTGCATAAAGCTAACATACTTGACCACATTTGCAGTATTTCAGTAAGCATGCATTTACATCAGTCTAAAGCTGGAACTGTTTTTCATTTTCAGTCACATGTCAACGCAAGGGAACACAAATCAGAATTTGGCTGTTTTTGGTCACACGGCCACTGTTGTTGGAGACATAATGGTCATTATCTTCGGACATCACCCAATCTATGGATACATTAACACTGTGCAAGAGTTTAATTTTAGTAGGTATAGTCACCTGGACATTTTCAATGCCAAAATTCTCTCTGAAAACATTGTAATAGGAGCAGTTATACTATATATGGTTATAAGTTTCAGGTTGCTCATCGTTATCTTCTTTAAAAACATAGATCATGCTTGCTGAGACCCCTTACGTACCCTTTTACTTTTCACCAGAAAGTAGAGAGTGGCGTCTTGTAGAGACGAGTGGAGGTAAACCTCGAGGCACGTACGGTCACACGAGTGTGTTCGATGAGCGGACTGGATACATATATGTGCACGGCGGCATTGCTGCTACTACTGGTGGTGACAGTCAAGGATTCCTCGTAGATCAGTTGCTTAGATATGAACCTGCCACCGAGCAGTGGTAGGCACAAATCGACGTCAGACTGTTTTGTTTCTATTCTAGAGGTTTACATAGTCAACATATGTGAAATTCTTCATGTTCATGGCGATTTCATTGACATTTGGGCCTTTCAGTAACCATGTGAGATAAGATTTACGTAATAATGTTCCATCTGTAATAGTCTGCACTATGCGTGCTAAGCAGTAGTTGTTTTCCACTAATAGCTAATAGTTAGTGATGCTGAATGTACTATAATGCATGATCAGCTAGTAGCGTCGAATTTCCCGTCACATCCTGAGATGGGTCTAATGTTTGTAGGTTTGTGCTACACTCCAGTGGTAGCAGGCGCTACCTACATGCCAGCTCCCTCTCTGCTGGCTTGATGCTTGTGTATGGTGGCAACACGCACAACGATAGCACACAGAGTACTGGGGCAAAGTGCCTGTCATCTGACTTTATGGCTTATGACACAGGTATGGATGTAGTATGCAATTCCACACTTGTTACAACACTGCCAGAAACTGTATGCTCTTGTTCTGGTATACAGCTTATATTGCAATGTTCAACAGTTGATAATTATTCAATGCAGCATTCTTGCGATTGCAATCCTAAGAAAGCTTGAGTATGTTGAATGTGACGTTTAAGATTTAGAATAGCGTGAGGTGTCATCGTGATGATTGAAAATAAGCATCTTCACAAATTACCTTGTCATTAGTGGGTCAGTATGGGTGAGGTGAACTGAGTAGGCAAGGGCATTATCAAACTGCATGCAGCGCCCCCTTCCCACACTCAGGATATACCACTGCCACAATGCTAGCACTATTTTTACAGTGGGCGGAGCTCCGGGGAAATCCAGCAAATGGCAAGCCAACGGCCGCGAAGTCGCCACCGAACAAAATATTAGAAATTTCTATGATTTGCATGTTTGTTGGTGGACAAATTTAGATGTTTTAAGCTGAATACGCAAAAATGTATCAAAGACAATGTTCGAGAATTAGGTATATTGACAAGCATCCCGAAAATACTTAGTTTAGTAAACAGCGTAATGATTTGAAAGTAGTAAATGGGCGCACTATTTCGTATCACTATTTTATCAAATTTCTCATGAAATAATGGTCCGACTTTTATTATCTTTGCAGCTTTTATAAGTAAACACCGTATTGCATAGGACAGGAGTAACGGGGTCGCTGTAAAACTTATAGTAAAAAAGCGTAAGAAATTCTTACGGAAATCAGCTTGTGGCAGTGGTACAATTGAGCCAGAGCGAGAGCGCCATCTGTCGTGGAGTTTGGGGCATTATATGTACATGAATTTGGATAGAATGTCTGACAGCAAACGGTATGATTGATAGTGTGTGACCAGTGGCTGGAGCTGAGTGGTCCGTCCCTGACTGGTGTGCAGGCTGCCCGATTTGGACACTCTACTGCGACATATGGTGGCAACCTGTACGTCTTTGCCGGTTTCGCAGGAACTCTGCTCAATGACATAATGTTATTTACACCAGGTGGGATAGGTTTATTATCATTTTAGAGATCAATCAATCTGCATAGGCTATATATATGCACATTCAGAACTAATCAATCAGATTTTTCTTTACGAATCTTAAAATGATCATGTAATTTAAAGCAAATCTACAGTGACTTTAAGCCTGCAATAACCAGATCCAGAATTTCATGGTTGTCCAGACACAGTGGGAGATTAGTACATGCAAAATATTTTCGAGCAATTTACTAGACACAGGTTAGGTGTATACATGTGAATAAATGACAAAAAGTTAAAACTTTTTTCAGTTGGATGTAATTTTGTCAGCTCGTGCAGTCATTTCTTTCTGCAAGAAATCATTGCGGCCCAATTTCATACTAATTTGTGTACAGCGTATTTGTGTGTGTAATCGTGAGTGAAACGCGAAATTTTTTTCGGTACGTAGGAAACTGTTTGCTATACACGGGTGACAGCTGTACTTCCGCTCGACCAGGAGTGATCTGTGTCTTAAGCCAGAGCAGTGGCACATGTATGCCACTAGATGGAGCTGCCGATGCTGACGTGCAAACACACTGTCCAGAGCGTATGTGCTTAACTTGATATTTAACAGCATAACGATCCTCCTATTATGGTCATCGCCATGTGATAACACATGCAGTGTCCAGATCACATGTGCGTAACTTGAGATTTAACAACATAACGATCCTCCTATTAAATCTGTGAGTAGACTGTGACATCTCTGTAACTCATGTGAGTAGGCTGTGACATCTCCACGACTGATGTGATTGTGAGTTTGTTGTGATGTCTCTGCGACCCCTGCCTGACATTTCTTTGACTCGTGCATTGTAGTTCCGGTTGATCCCTCGGACTCCTGCGGAACTATATTTGAACGAAATTGTCTCAGCTGCCTGGAGACTGACTACGACTGTGCGTTCTGTTTAAACTATTGCAACTCGCCTAACTGCTCTACCAACCCGGAAATTGCTATAGTAAGTTGAACACGTGTTAGTGGCACTCTTTAAATATTTCATGTTTTTGTAACCCTTCTGGCTCTTCGAAATCATGTGTACTAAAGAGTAACTTTGTATTTTATATAGTTATGTAACATCTGTAGTACTGTAAATTGTGTGAAGTAATTTGTAAGAAAGGATTGGCTTGATAGTTACTTAATTACTGACTCATTTAATAAATGGCATGTATTGTTAGTGAGATCAAAAATAATGTTACAGGTGATCTCAATTATGTTCAAAAGAAAAGCTGATGTTTGTCTATCTTGCATAATGTTGTTGTGAGCGAGTTTGTGCATTTTTGCACAACACACTGTTTGTATATAGTATCACAGTCATAGCATGTCACAGTCATATCATGAATAGCATGTTTTCCAAAAATGTTACTGTAGTTTGTAGTTGCTATGATGCAGACGATGTAGTGATGAGTCATTAAATATTGTACTTGTATCACTGTTTTCAATTTTCAGTATGAAATTTTTACATTTGTTTAGACAAACTCATCCATGTGCCCAGAGATGTATTCAAATGACTGTTCGTACCACCACAACTGTCACAGCTGTACACTCGATGCTCAGGTCACTGGCTGCTCCTGGACCTCTAGCATGCAAGTGCCATGCATTTACGAGCCCTTTCCAGGTGAGTCCTGATATATTATTATATGTGATAAGGCGAAGTAATTGCATTTCATACTCTGAGGTAAGGAAGGATACAGTAGATTACCATTGTCACTGTTTCTGAAGACTATATCCACGTCAATTTATATCAACAAGACTTCATTGGTTGTATGGCATCAGACTGTAAAGCGTTATATCATACATGTTTGTTAGAGACAGCTGTAACATCATCATAAGATGCATTGTGGCACCTCATTCATACAGGTGGTGTTCACCTGAAGTTAATCAATAATCGTGCTTCAAATCTGTGTGCAAGAACTAACAGCTACTGTAAAAGTCTCCCCAAATAATGTGTTAGTGTCCTCTGATGTCAGACAGGACTGGAAAATTGCCGGTCTGATTGGGTTGTTCTTCTTTGAACTTTATACCTTGCAAGTGTTTTCCTACTTCAAGCTAACGTCCAGTTGAAATGTGAAACTTGTTACACAATTATATACTAGTGTACACATTGACAGCCATAATGCTTGCAGGTACACAGAGATGCGAACAAGCTCCCTGCAGCTCATACACAGATTGTAATGCGTGCATAACTAGCCCCGAGGGTGTACCACCATATTGCATGTGGTGTGCTAGCGAGGGCACCTGCATGGAGCCTAATGCTTACCTGGCCAACTATCCCTACGGGCAGTGTCTGGAATGGACCAACAGTGAGAGTGGATGTTTAGGTATGCAGTATGTGAGAAGGAGCATCAGTGGGGAGCAGTGAAAATAGGGAATGGCTAGAGCCCATGGGAAAGAGGGGCCCTCATTGTGTGGTTATACAATGTCATGCAGAAAAGAACGAAACTACACAAAAAATTACAATCATATTGAAACTTTATTTAATGTTTAATAAAAAGTGTTTTCCATTAAAAACATGCTGAAAACTATTCCGACACTATGCCTCCACTGACACGACGGTAATGGAAAAGGCGAAATCCCACATGACAAAAATGATTTCGGTTTCCATGGCAACAGATGTCTTGTGTAGCGAGCAGAAGACGTGTGAGGAGTGCCATCAGCGGCCGGGCTGCGGCTGGTGTAACGACGACGCAGACACCGGTCTTGGCGTCTGCATGGATGGCGGTGACACCGGACCCGTGAACGTGACGGTCAGTGGTGACCTTCCCGTTCCGCCGGGACAGTGCGCGGGGAAATGGCATTTTTCTTCTTGCCCACGTACGTACTTATTATATAGCCACATGTGACAAAGATATGAGTGTGTCTCAACTGATCCATACTAGACTTATAGGGGCTGGCTAGATAAGCCTGTTAGCTGTTTTAATTTGAAGGTGGGCACAAATTGAAGGACGTAAACAAGAGGCTAGGCCAGATTGGTGAGAGTGGTCAATGGAGGTTAGAGGAAGGATGGTGATTGCAGCAAGTGGTGTGGAAGTGGAGTATTGGGATTTGGCATTTTGCTACGATACAACTAAGATGATCTAACATTGCTCGTTTCAGTGTGCAGCTGTAACGGACATTCCACTTGTGCGGTGAACAGCAGCGTCTGCCTGGATTGCGCAGACCACACCGAAGGTCAGTGTGATCTTGGTTAATAATAACACTAACACAGTTATTATCGAAATGTTATCATGGTTATCGAACGTTAATTGCTGCATACAGTCAATGAACATGAAAGTGATTTCTTTCCTGGATCCTGGTGATAGGAGTTCTAGTGCTTAGAGATCTTCATAGAAATGTCACAACACTATATACACGTTTAATTGACAGAACTGCCACAGAGATGAGAATCTCCCGCGGATCCGCGGTTTCCCGCGTTTTTCACTTTCGAAAATTATCAATTTTCCAAATCGTTCAAATCCATTGAGAAAACTGTAGGGGGGGGGGAGGTGTACTGCCACCCGCGGACAGTGGAAGAGTGTCCCGCGGCTAGTAATGCTCTTTTACCATCTGAGTTCGAAATTTCTGTGCATCAGAACTTGTCTGCAAGCATCTAATAAAAAAAAAAATTCTTGGGGAGGCCCCCCCGAAAGTGCTTAGCACCTGCGGTGCACAATATAGTGCTTAGCGCTATTCTACCAGTACGTGAAATTTCTCAGTGGGACTGTAAAGAGATGAGTAAATCATATTGTAATCTAAATAAAATTGCTACTATACTGTTATATTTAGATGACAGTCAATTTAACATAGTCGTTTCCTCTCACGTGTAACAGGAATGCAGTGTGAAACCTGCTCAGCTGGCTTCTGGGGCAATGCACTGCAGGGCAACATGTGTCAAGGTGAGTGTCCAGCCTACATTCGCTCATGAGATGGCTACACGTGGCCAAAACTAACATCCTACAAATTCAACCTCACTTCCTATTTCCTGGGTTTGTTTCATAATTACATGTAAAATCCAATTTTACATGTATTTATGTTACCACACACTGTCTGGTGCACCATTGTATTTCTCTGTACCATGGCATAGATGTGTTTGAGATTTGCCAATCCCTATTATAATTCTGATTGATTAGCCGTGAGGTGCTATGATTCGAGGTGTGCTGGTGTGGGGCAAAAGTTAAACAAGTTGTTATTTCAGGGCTATGTCCTGGGTCCCTGTGCCTTGCTGGTAGATTCTTTGCTCTTAGGTATAGCAAATAGATTGAGACGTTCTCATGCAAGTGCCTCCTAAACTTAACTCTTGTGTTTGTGCCCTAAGCAGCTAAATTACGTGACATGGAAATACAAAATAGTTCTTTTTATATTTTGTTGTGTTGCTGCAAACATCCAAATTGCAAAAACGCTAACTACGTTCTAATGTGCATCATGTTACTCAGCAAAGGAAACTTGCTGGCTTGGCTGCTGGGGGCTCACGTGCACTTGCTTAAACACATTAGTAACACATGTTTGTATGCATTCCAGAATGCGACTGTAACTCACACGGCACAGAAGAGTGTGACAGGAAAAGTGGGACGTGCACTTGTACTACAAAGGGCATCATCGGCAACCAATGTGAAACGTATGGAAGCCATCTCTACTCCGCTCTGTGTTTCACATTCAATGTTAAAATGATAAGTTAAAGCTTATTAGTATTATAAGTATAAGCATGTAATATAGTTAGCCATCTTCATTGTGTCAACATGCTGGTATTTTCCAATGTGTTTGTGCACATCCTTTGTATGTTGTCATTATTAAGTGTGGCTGTTGTTTGTTATGGTTAAACCTGCAATCTCTGATTTAGTGATCTTAGTGGTAGTCCTTTCTTTGATCACAGTTTTAATGCTGTGAAAATAACATTTTGGGCCCATGATAATGTATCTGGTTGTTTTGGTTGAACTTATTTTTTGTTTTTAACAGGTGTGATGCACGTAACAATTACGTCGGAGATGCCATGAATGACACTTGTTACTGTGAGTGTCAATTCAGTGCAACCTAACCTTTGAAATTTAGAAGAAATGCATGGTGTTGTGATGTCTGGATTTATGCTTTCAATAGACCATTTCTCAGCAAACTGCTAGATATTAATGGGTTTTATTAAGTTATAGCTGAGTCACAAAGCATGCATATGAACACCTGGTTGGTTTTTAAATTCAGATCACTTTGCATTAAAATACAAACCTTCTACGAAAATTATTGGTTCTCGAATATAAGGTCATTTGTAATGACTACCACAATGCCAGCAGAACTGTTGCTAGACACTTGTAGTATGCTTGTGCACTGCTACTGGCTCGAGTTCTACTCTTTTCATTGGTTCCATTTCCCACAATGGTAGTGGGAGTTTTTCTATTAGCTTTGGTGACTGTGCATATTAATTTAACATCAAATTAATTCTGGTGGTGGTGTATACAACTAATCAAGCACAGAGTATCACTGCATGTAGCTGCTGCATTATGCTATTTCAGTCCCAGTCATGGTTGGATATATCTATACTGTGCGTATTAGCACAGCCAATGAGAAGTACATCTCCAGCATTAACTATATATGCGCCGAGCAGAAGGTATGGCTGATTACTGGCTTCAGGTGTATGTCACTTAGCTTTGTGAAATCACTAAAATTGCATAAACAGTTGTGTGTATTATGGTAGTGATATGGGCATGTGCTCGTATGAGCTCTCACTAGTTTACTAGCCCGCACCAGAAATACTCACACAAGTAGAAACTACGTACTGCTGCAGTAACTTTACATCACATTAACATCCGTTGGAATCCCAAACAAGCATGTATTTTTTTCGGTGCCTGTTATATCAGAGTGCATTATGCAAATTATAGCTGCGGTATCCTGCTGATGCTGCACACACGGGTGTCCTCTTACACAGTCCTCTTACAACAGCTTTAACTGTCATGTGAAATCTAGATGTTCTGATTTGATGAAAACACGCATGGTAGGGCATGGCACCGTATGGTTCTGACACAGGTGCATTGATTAAGATCTTATGGCTAAGATGCAATGCCGTGGGATAAGAGGACTAGACGGTTAGGGTGAGAGGGAGAGATTCGAGAGCTATCTGGGTGGGAGAGATGTGTGAGGACCCTGAATTGGGGAAGAGAGACGAGGACTAGTGTGAGGGGTGGATATCTGAGGGCTGGTAGTGTGTGTGAGAGAGGTAAAATGGCTGGGCTGTGAATGTTGAGAGGTGGGAGGGCTGGGATGCGAAATGGGGTAGATAGAAGGACAGGATAAGAACAAGATTAGAAAGATAAATAGGACAATTGGGCTAAGAAGTGAGAAGATGAGAGGGCTGTGTTTGTAATGGGGGGAGACATGAGGACTGTGGTGTGAAGGGAAGACAATAGGAGGGCTGAGCTGTGAGAAGGAAGAAGGGCACGTATGTGAGAGCAGGATTATAGAGGAGAGCTGGTGTGTGAAGGGCTGGATATATATGAGGGCTAGAGCATGAAGGGAAAAATATAGAAGGACTTGGCTGCATGTAGCAGATTGATCTTATGTGTCTGTGTATATGTGTTGCTTAGTTAGACAGAGAACGACTGAAAGTCAGGATCTAATATGTACTAGTGCAGTTTAGGCAGCCAAGTTTTTATATTTGGGAATAGTAAATGTTGGTATGAAAACGTTTTCTTTCTTGCGTCTATTAATTTGTGTGCATGTGTATGTATGAACCTGTCCTACGTACTGTCAGCACAACTGTATAAAATTGTAATAAAACAAGTAAAATTCGTACGTAATTAGTCACCATGGAAACTATGGTAGCATATTTATAACTGTTTGAAAGCAATTGGGCTTAGTTAGTTTGTGGTTTTGCACTTACAACCATTTCTGTGTATTTTATAGGAAAATGTTGACATTGGGTTTTCAATCAATTGTGATGCATCTCTCATGTTCAACCTCACATGGAACTCAGGTAACTATCATTCCCACTTCTTGTGACACTTAAGATATTTGCCTTAAAAAATATTGACTTTTAGATCTTATTTGCTATTTCGTGACTGGGCAGCAAAAAATCTCAATTATTAACTATTAATCAATTATATTATTGTATTTTTTGTGTAATTATTAGTGAATCGTTATCTATATGTTTATGACTATATTATATGTGAAGCAAATTAAAATAGGACAGCAGCTGCTGTTTCAAATTTTTTGGTTTTACTTTTGTAGTTGCTGCTGCTCTGCTGTTGGTTGTGGTTTTTGTATTGGATGAACACGTGTGACTGTTACTTTCATATTAGTGATGAGTAAAAGGAGTTGCAACTGTGTATCCTAATTATCTTAGATGGAATTGATGAAGAGCAGCTGTTATACAGTAGAAACTGCACCGGTCGCACAATAAAGGTGAAATTATCCCGGTATGAGCTGGACATGGGAAGGAACAATTTCACTCTCTACCTGTACATCTACAACTTCAGTAGCCCCATCACTATTGCCGTATGTATTCTTTTCTGTATTTTACTTTTCTATGGAAAGGGCAAAGCTTGTTAATCTGGGGGTGAATAAGCCATGTTGCCTCAACCGTGCATCTTACCTAAATGTTGGTGCAGTACGGGTGGTAAATGGAAAATCCTCATTTAGAATAACATGGTCACAGTTACATTTTTACATGACATCGACTTTTCTTGACATCGTCAAGATGAGCTATTGCCATGGGTCGTCGTCTGTCCGTCGTTCCGTCAACATTTGGCTACGGTCAACGATAACTCAGGAACCGTTTGACCCACATGTTTGAAATTGGGTATAGTTGTTACTGCTATGCTTCCATATTAAACGTTCTATTTTGGAGCACGCCAGTCGACGTACTTTTGAGCCACGGCAATTTTTTGCCAAAAATGGGAATTGCCATTAGTACCACATGTTTAAAATTGAATACAGTTGTTACTAGTATGGGAGAGATTTATACTTCCTATTTTGGAGCCACACCCACTTTTTGGCAAAAATTAAAATGGCCATCTAAATTCATTCGATTTTGTTAAATTTTGGTATGTGAATGTGTAAGGCTAGCCCCAAAACAGTTGGTACTCTTATGGGAGAGATGACAATGTCCTATTATGTTTATTTCGTCTAACTGCTCAACAACTCTACAATCATACCTATATATGTGATACCTATAAAACCAAAATGGCGATCATTTAGGCGTAGCACCATCTCTCGGCAAGATTTCAGACTTGCAGATCTAAAACATTTATTTTCGCATCAAAACTTATGCATATATCATTATCAAGAGTATATAATCGGAGTTCTCCCATATATACTCTTACTTTATATATCACCCCTCCCTCTTCTATTATAATCATGCCCAAGGTGAGCTACAGTGCCATTGACACTTTCATTTTTGTTAATATGGATTTTTTTATTATAAAATATTCTATAATATATTGTTAAAATGTTTATTTGCTGCAAGACTGTATAATTTGCTTAAACCATATTTGATCTACATTGCTTATCCTGTTAACTAGTATTTTTTATGCTAGACGCAAATTGCACTAGTTAAGCAAATTAATTAAATAGACCTATCGTTATTGTTTGTGTGTGTAACATTATGCAGAACTACCTTGTAGCCACATCACTACGCGTATACCCGCGTATGTAGACTGTTACTGAAAGCAGTCCGCTCTGGGCTCGGCCATGTTATGCTAAGCACGAATAAATGTTGTTTACCCAATTATGTCTGGACATCCGATACTTTACATGGTGGCAGCGTAAAAGTCATCGCAGTGTTGAAATAACACTCCAGTGAACATCTGCATGACATTGACAGTGTGTTGGCCAGCGCCAGGAGCCAGAATTTTGGATTTGTCTGCACCGACCTCATTGCCACAATTGATCGCGGCAGTATGCGACATCGGCATCACCGCGCAACAGGTGGAATGCATATATATGTGCACGTCGTGCACTAGGCCTACTAGAGGACAAGTAATAGTAATACTTGGGTGTACACGCATCCGGAGTATACATTACACGCTGTGTTTGAGTCTGCTGGAGTAGCAACTGGACAGTGTGGTGAGTGGAAAATAGACAGTATCCTGTCATTGACAGTAATACGCATACTTGTACAGTGTGTCGATACCCAGTGTATGGTACAGTAGGCCTTATACACGTACCGTCATGGGTGAACTGTCAGGTATAACGCCACCTCGTATGGACTGGTCCAGCACGGATCTTCCAACAGCTTTCCAAGAATTCAAACAGTATTGTTCACTAATCTTCGCCGGACCACTTTATGAGAAGTCGGAGGAGGAGCAAGCTAATTATGTACTGATATGGGTAGGTCAGGAGGGATTGCAGATATTCAACTCCTGGAATATTAAAGCAGATAAACCAGCCACATTATGGGACAAGTTTGAGAAACAGCTTGGGCCCCAGTCAAATTTTCGGCTGCACAGATATCAGTTACAGAAACTGCACCAGTCAGAAGGGAAGACAATTGATGAGTTTATGACTAGGTGTAAGCTTCAAGCAAAAGCCATCAGAACCGGCCCTCCCGATTCCGTGACATAGAATTCTGCATCGCACGCCTTGTCCCGATACCTACAAGGTATGGACGTCGACCCATATTGTGCAATACGGGAGCCGTTGTAACCTGTCAACCAAGTATCAGGGTCTGTCCTCGTGGCGCCTTTCTTAGGAAATCCCTCGCCGTCTAGTCGTTCTGAATACATGCGTCTGTATATTCTCAGTGGGAGCAGATTTCCTTGGGCCCCTGTATCAACCTTGACCTTCAGTATAATGTAAACTGTAGCAAATACTTCGTCCCTCCTGTCTCGGGGGTTGTTGGAATGCACGGATTCAAATGAAAAATTCTCAAAACTTTCATTTAGAAAGTTCGTGGCTGCCTGTCTGTCTCTGTTACCATGATGTACCTCGTGAACTTGGTGCCTTCTCCCACGTGAGGCTGACCTGCCTCTGTTATTCCTGCTCTGACCTCTATGTAACTGTGACCTTGACCTTGGGTTTCTGTCCCTAACCCGTGTGGACATGCACATTTTTTTCCAGTGGTTCAATTTACCACACAAGTCACACTCTGTCCCATAGGCTGGACATTTCTCCATGGGTTTCGGCGGGTGTTTTCCCCCACAGTACTCACACATCGGATACGACTGTGGTCAGCTTTTATATGCCTTGTTAACTTGGTGAACCGTGCCTCCGCTGGTGCCACCAGCTAACTGTTTCATCTGAGCATCAGTCGCTTCACGCGTTCTGACAATGTCTAGCGCTTCTTCAAGTGTTAGCTTCCCATCTTTGCATAAGAGAATTTCCTGGACCTTCTTGTGTACAGTACCGATGATTAACTGTTCAATTAATCTCTCGTTCGTTTTCTGATCATCACGGAACTTGCACCAGATGCTCGTAATCAGCTTGTCATATGCTGATTAGTGGGAGGGAGTCCATTCGAAAACAACACCCTTCTTCATCAGCTATTGCAGTGGCGCTGTGTGCTAGGATGCATGAGGCAGGAACGGTGACAGGTATGTCACCATTCCGAGAAACTCTTGCAACTGTTTTGCATTCTTTGGGTATTCCATCTTTCTGATCGCCTTGACCTTGTCAGGGTCAATGTGCACTCCATTGGCATCATAGACCATGCCAAAGAATTTCATGGACGATTTGTTTATCTCGCACTTGTCAGGGTTGAATACAAGTCCGTTCTCCTCTGCTACCCTCATGACGTTGCGTAGATTGGCGTCAAGATCAGCTTGGTCTTTTCCGAATACAGCGACGTCATCCGCTATTCCATTCGTGCCCAGACACTGCTCCAATATGTTGTCCATGCGCTCCTGAAATACATCTTGGCTGACATTCAGGCCAAATGGCAACCTCTGGAAGCAAAATCGTCTGAATGGGCTGTTAAATGTCGTCAGGCGACTTGATTCGCTGTCAAGTTCTATTGACCAATATCCGTGTCGAGCATCCAACTTGGAGAAAATGGTTGCTCCCGCGAATTTGTGGGTGATTTCTTCAAGTGTCGGCGTCTTATAGTGCGGGCGTTTTATTGCCTCGTTAAGGTCCTTCGGATCAAGACACACCCTGAGTTTGCCGTTTGACTTCCGACTGTCCGCCAGACTACTGAACCAGTCTGTGAGCTCAGTGACCTTAGTGATGACTCATGATTTCACCATACCGTCAAGTTCCTTCATGAGCTCATCTCAAAGGCGAATAAGACATCGTCGTGGGGCGTGCACCACTGGCGGGATGGACGGGTCTACAGTTATGTGAAATGTTCCCTTGAAGTGAACAATACCCTCAAACCTGTCTGGATACATTCGGACCAAGTCCTCCTTTGCAGTCATGTGAGGATTTTCACTGTTCACGTGTTTGTTGACGGCACAGTTCAATGATACCAGATGTAGGTCACGTGAGGTGGGCAAAGACAGTCTGCCATGGTCCCGTAGGTATTTCATACTGCAGTAGTGGTTCTGGGCTTTGTGACTTCTACCACACGACTTTATCATGTTCTCTATGTCTGCATTACAGTTGTTCCAGTAAACACAGGTACGAGCCCTCAACCTGGTCTTGTCGATACCCTGGTGAGACTCGTGTAGTTTTGATAGAACGTAGCTCTGCATGCTGTCTGGAATCATGACACGTTCTCCCTTCATGACAATACCATCGTGGACAGTAAGTTCATCTCTGTATGCCCAAAACTGGCGTAGTGCAGGTGGTATAGCTTGTTCCGTCGGTCGAGCCATCCCTGCACGGTCACCTTCTTCAGAGAATGAAGTGTACCATCAGCTTGGGTCGCTTCGCGTAACTCATCCTGTTTCTGTGTACTGAATTGCACAAGTTCAACTTTGACATCTAGGTCAATAGTGTCGTTCTCTCCTCCAGGAGATCGAGAGAGAGCATCTGCCATCAATACTTCCTTCCCCGCCCGGCTTGTACATTATCTTCACGTCATAGGTCTGGATTCGCAGTAACATGCGCTGTAGTCGCTGAGGAGCTGACGAAATGTTCTTGAGATGGATCATTTCGAGCGGCTTGTGGTCCGATTCCACAATAAACTGATTTCCGTACAAATAAGAATGGAATTTCTCGCATCCAAAAACCACCGCCAAAAGTTCACGCTCTATGTTGGCATATCGCTGCTCACAATCACTCAATGTTTTGGACGCGAAAGCGATCGGCTTGTTGTTTTGGATCAGAACAGCTCCTAGACTTTTGCTTGACGAGTCAACTTGCAGGATAGATGGCTGCTGCGGGTCAAAATAGCTGAGAGTTACCTCTCGAGGTACCGACCTGTTCTATCTGGATGGTGAGGAGTACCTTCTTATCTGTGACTACTATTCAAAGTTCCCGATAGTCAAGAAAATTCACGGTCGTGTGACAAGTCAGTCAGTGGTGAACATCACTAAGCAAGTGTTCTCGGAACAAGGAATTCCAGAGACTATAATCAGTGACAACGGCCCACAATATGCAAGCCAGGTGTTCAGACAGTTCACAGAAGAATGGAGTTTCAGTCACGTGACATCGAGTCCCCACTATTCACAGTCAAATGGCTTCATCGAGAGGCACGTACAGACCATAAAAGGTGTACTTGCTAAAGCCAAAGCGGCACATACTGATCCGGACATGGCAATACTGATTATTAGATCCACACCCGTGTATTGCCACTTGCCATTACCATCAGAACTACTGAACTCTCGCAAGTTCAGAAGTAATCTTCCGGTAAAGATTACCAACAATTAAAGCAGCCGACAAGGATGCAGTTTCACGTCGACTTTTTGAGCGTCAAGCAACTCAAAAATTGTATCACGACGAGAAATCTGTGAAGACACTAGCCCCTCTGTCCCCAGGTCAATCGGTTAGAGTACGGGACGAGAATACACACAAGTGGAAGCCAGCAGTCGTCACAAGAAAACATGTGTCACCACGTTCGTATGAGGTGCAAACATCTGACGGCAACAATCTCAGGAGGAATCGTCGGTTCATTCGGGAAACCAGTGAGGAAGAGAGGACCCCCTCATACCCCCAGGACAAGATGACCAGGAACCAGTTCCACCCCCAGAGATAGATGTGAGGTCCTCAACAAAACACGTCAGATTCAAGGCAACGATTGAGAGTGAACCAGTGCGTGTTCCAAATACTGGGAGTGCCAGTGACCATCCAAACTATCATACCCGTTCAGGGAGAATAGTCAAAAATCCGAGAAAGCTCGATATATAATTTGTGTTAACAATGTGATACAGTCAGGCATTTGTGTAGTGGAGAACGCTATAGTCAAGTGCATACGTGTTGTGTGACTTTGATATTTGGGTTATAGTCAGGGATATTTTGGTTCACATTCTTCCAAAAGCACCAAATTTGGCCCAGATGTTGCCCATACCATACTTTTTCGATTTCTGGCGGGCGCCGGAATGGGCGCCCCCCGGGGCCGCCATATTGGCAAATTCCAGTATGGCCACCACCCGGGTTGGGGGGCAATCTAGGTAAACATCCAAAAGATCTATAATCATAAATAATACCACTTTTTAAGGGTTTTCAACGTCTGGGAATCTGATTCTGATCTTACTTCAGTGATTTGAGGTCAAGGTCACCCCTCCAGGTCACCTTAAGGTCATTTTGGGGTCAAATATGTCATTTTTAGTGTTTTTTTGTCAATATATACAAACAGCACCTCATTTTATCGGTTTCCGGGGTTGGGTAACCCGAATCTGACCTTATTTGAACGATTTGAGGCAATATTGCATGTCAGGGTCACGATAGAGGTCACCCGACCGAGAGGTGAATCGTACGTCAATTATAGGTAAAACACATTAAACACTAAGAATTAGACATAATACCACTTTTTAGAGATTTGTGGCTTCTGAGAATCCGATTCTGATCTTATTTTGGCGATTTGAGGACATAGTGACCACATTTTGGGGTCAAAGGTTAAAGCTCAGCAGTGTTCTACTAAAAAATAAACAAAGATTATTCAGGAATCAATTTTTATTAAAGTAATTCAGACTAAATTATTACTACTGGTCATCTTT